TGACAGAATTGTTTTCAAAAGCTTTCCTCTTGCCTTCATCAATCTATTTTCTTAGATCTTCATTCCTCCTTTTGCTTGGATAAGCTCATTTGCTAGCTTATTGATTGCATGTTTGACTTTAATGGTTCTTTGACCATCTTCTTCAATCTTTCATCGTCCCTTTTCAGCTTCCTGCATTTGTTCATCATGAACTTCATTGTCTTCATTATCTGAAATATCAGAGTCAGATAAAGTAACGACATGAGGACCTCTTTCAAGAAAAGCGACATATGAAAAATCATCAGTATCATCATAAGGAGAATCATTATCACTTAAAGCAGATTTTTCAGACATAGAAACTTTCATTGCTTTTCCTTTATTCCTATCCTTTTGTTCTTTCCTAGGATTAGGACAAACATTAGACGCGTGACCTTTGCAACCACAATTCCAGTAAGTGAATTCAGTTTCTTTTGATTCTTCTAATTTCTTTTCATTAAACCTAAATTTTGACATCTTGTCAAAATTTTGAGGATTGGCTATGTTGTCATTCCTTCTCCTCTGTTGTCTTTGCAATATCAGATTGAATTGCCTTGACAAAAAAACAAAATCATCATCAAAGTTATCATCTAGAGAATTCTTAACCCATGTTGATTTTAAAGCAAGATTTTTCTCCTTTTGATTTAAATTGAAGTTTTGCATCTTAAAAGTTTTCAATGAACCTACAACCTCGTCAACTTTACAGGTAGTTAAATCCCAATGTTCAGTGATACCCTAATCTAAAATCTTTTAGGTAACGACCTTAAGATTTTCACACAGATTTTCTTATCACTAACCATTTTTCCTAAGTGACGTAGTTCAAAAATTATTTCAAGAATACTAGAATAAAAATTAGAAAAGGATTCATCATCTTTCATCACGATGTTCCCAAAGTTATGAGAAAGTATCTGAATTTTAGACAACTTCACTTTTGAAGTTCCTTTATGAGTAACCTGCAAAATATTCCAAACTTCTTTAGTAGTTTTATAATCAGAAATTTTAGCATATTCAGATGAAACAACAGAATTAATAATTACATATAAAGCTTTGCCATTAGCATCATTACGCTCAGTTTCAATAGCAGTAAAAGCAAAAGTATCTTTTAAGACCTTGACTTTTTTACCATCTACAATTTTATCTTCTATAGGTAGTGAATAGCCAGATTCAACAATAGCCCAAGTTTTATCACCTGAATTTTGCAAATAGGCTCTCATCTTTGATTTCAAAAAATTGTAATTATCTCCTCCAAACAAAGGACCATGTTAATTAGAACCGCTTTCTTTCAATGCATAAGATATGATTAAAAACCAATTTTTGAAATCAAAACAAAACTTTCCAACAAGGATCAACTCAATGTATAGAGATTGGCTCTGAAACCAATTTATGAGTTGTACGCAGCAGAATATTTAGAAAGTTTTTATTATTTTTGAAAATAGATCTTGTATTTTTCCAACTTACTTTATTTTAGTAATTAAATAATTAATCACATGCAGATAAAATAAAGCAAAGTAAAAATTAGAGGTGACAACAGGATTTTTAGCGAGTAAACCCCAGTTGATAAAATACGTCAACTGTTTGCGTGAAAAAAACTTCGTGGACTGTGTAGTCCAAAGTAAACCGATCCACTCTGCTTGAAACAAAGTACACTGAACTTTGACTTTAGCTCACACCCTATCGTTCTACCAAACACCAATTGCTGACAATCTTCTAGCTTTGTGACTCCTCGTCCAGCAGCAACTTGAACTCAGACTTATGCTTGATCTTTGTAGAGGAGTAGTAGGTAGACCAGACAACACTCCTCAAATGCTCTAACCTTTTCAAAGTGTGATTGTTTTTACTTCTGTTCTTCAACTTTTGGATTTAATGTAGAAGTAGATATACTTTTGTCTGATTGATGTAGATGTAACTGTATAATCACGATCAGGATTCGAACAACAAAATTCTAAAATCACTATGTGACTATGTGTGTGTTCTAGAAAGACAAACAAAAAAAATCTCTAAGATTTTATGAGACAAAAATCTTCCTAAGTCTTTTAAAAATAATAAACTGATAATGCAAAAGCCGTGAATAAACCTATGTGTATGACAAGGTTTATATATAATTTAGAATATCCTAGTCCCTTTGAAAATATGAAAAAATTCATGCATAGGACTTGGTACAATTCTAGAGCAACTAGGAAACAATTCTAAAATAGGAAGCTGAAAGTTGGAATCTGATCAGGACTACGTAAACCAGTTTAGAGGGGCTGAACCGGTTCAAGTTTGGCAGATTGGTTTTCGAATCCAATCTTGAAGCCTTGAACCGGTTTAGAGGGACTAAATCGGTTCAAGTTGGCTAGAACTTGAAACTTGGTTTTTTTAAGCCTAAAAACATTCTACAGTAAGTTTCTGAAAACTATGGAGAGTGTAGAATGTGTCCTACCCTGTTTAGAATCATTCCTAATGTGTTGCTCTTACCTTATTTCAAATGATCTCAATTATAGTAACTTTAAACAACCTTTCCATTCCATAGTCGTTATCGATCCCGATATAGTAACTTCAAATTACAACTCGGCAAGAATTTGTTTTGTTTCCGATAATTGCCAATTACAAAATAATATTTCACAGTCACCACTCTTATAGAGTCTAAGAAGTAGGAGATTGAAAGAGGCTAGCTGATGTAGCATTGATAGTTGAAGCTTATGTGACCTGTTTGGACTATCAAAACGTCAAACAAGTCAAGTGCTCTTGTCCCAATTATATAACCTCCTCATTCTCAAAGAGGAGGGAAGGCGTAGAAAAAGATTTACCAAAAAATTTAAAAAAAGGTCAAACAAGTGGGTGGACACAAATTCGGGGGTAATTTTTGACAATTCCAATACCCTACTTGGATTGGAAACAGCCTAACTCATAAAACCCAATAGTTGTTGCTGATGTAAGGTGTTTTTGGGCAAATTTCTATCATTTAGAACCCGATAATTGTATTTTCCTAATTTTATTAATTCAAGTTTACCTTTCAACCAAAAAAGGTTGTTCTTATAGAGAAAAACACACAGATTTTATTATAGTGAAAAACAAACCAAAAATTGAGATCTTTTTGATCTTCAAAGTGATGTTAGTAAGTATTTTTAAATCAGAACGTTTTCATGATTAACCTTACTCTTATCTAGAACAACTCAACAAGTATAACTTGCACATATATAACAAAATAATAACAATAATAATAATATTAAAAAAAAAATATGGAACCACGTCCGTGTAAGATAAAATTTTGGAACTAGTATAAGTTATAGCAAATTAAATTAATTTTAAGAATTATTTTCAATTACAAATAAGTTATATCAATTTCTTTTTTATTTTTTTAATCTTTTTTAAAGTTGAAGTAAATACACACCCATTATCCACCTGTTCTCGATGATCAGATTTAACCTCAATCTCTCCATTTGGGGAAGTATGTATAAAAAAAAAATTCATGATGTCTATCATGGAAAGTTTTCATTTAAGATTATCATTTTGTTTGTAAGAAAAAAGTAATAAAACAAAAAAACAAAAATCAATATAACAAAATAAACTCTCCAACTTTTTCACTGTTTTATTCAATAGACTGTTATTAAGTTGTTAGGGAAACTTTGATAAAACATTACGTTTGTGCAACCATCAATGTGGTTAATTGGTAATTTTCCTATTATCAAGTTCTTGTTACCAGTACCACTATGACGAAATATTACATTTGTGCAACCATCAATGTGGTTCTTGTTACCAAACATTACATTTGGGAGAACTGTATATGATAATAAAAAATAAAAAATAAAAATAAAAACATTACATTTGGCAGTTCTCTTTCTCTGTAAAGCACATTTTTTATCGAGAAAAAATAAAAATTTATTATAATATGTGGTTATATGTCTGAGTGTCATTAGTCGAATAGTATAACCTCTCCTCTCTTAAAGGGGGTGTGGAGTTCAAATTCACAATGAATAGTTTGTGAAATGTGTATAAGTACTTTTTATTTTTAAAAACAAAGTTTAAAAAAGAGAGAATTTTGTTTTGTGTGTAAGCCAATGGACCAACCCTTCCATTTCATATTTTTCCATTTTTGGTAAATAACTATATGTATGTATGTTAGGAAGGAGATTTTTCAAAATAATATTTGAGTGCACTTCCTAATCAAGGGATAAGAGAATTTAATTTTCTTATTTGCATGATTGAATATTGCCATGACATGACCAAGATATGGGGAATTTTGACTCACCATGGTGCAGTGAATTGAGAAAAAGATGTGAAAATGAAAGGTTAGACTGTTTAAAAAAATCACAAGGGCATATGCTCCTTCCATTAATGGACTAATTTTTTGTTTTCTTTCCCTCTTTCATTTTCTTTTCCATTCTTGGGGTTTTAACATATCTACATATATTATTCTATTTAGGTTTTTTTTTTTTTTTTTTTAATTAACAAAAAATACACTCACACACCTAATTTTACTCCTGCGAGAACTTAAACTATTTGCCTTTTACTTGGCCACGAAGTACCATTTGGCAAAACATAATTTTAATGCATTCTAAGGATAAATTGGTGACTTATTTGATGTTCTTTTCATATTCTTAATTTTGTGAAGTTGGGTACATTCGTTAAGCAAACGAGTCGGCTATAAAAACATAAATGCATTCATATTCTTACTCTCAAATTCCCACCGTTGATTTCCAAATTCTTTTTAATAAAAATTATAAGGACAGTCGACTACTGTCAGCCACTAGAAGCATGTGGAATCTAGGAGGAGAATAACTTAGGAGGTCCACAAGATTTGAGCTAACATTTCTTTTTCCCCATACCCATTTGTTTAGTGATTTGAAAAGGCAAAGTTCCTTGGCTCAACTAGGAGGAGAATAACTTAGGAGGTCCACAAGATTTGCTTTCAACCCTGTCATGCATTCCTAATTCATTTCCTTTAATAAATTAATATATATATATATATACACACACACACACTTTTAAGATGGTCACTTATCTCAGTACTATTTTTGTCCAAACATGCTTGACTGCAGAATTCTGATGGTATTAGGTGCATTATTGCTAGTATGATAGAACCACATATATAGCATTATTGTTACCTTACAAAACTCACAACCCACACTCATTTTCTTTGTTTACTAAGACAACAATGGTGAAGATTGATATCATCTCCAAGGAGCTCATCAAGCCCTCCTCTCCAACACCCCATCACCTTAGAACCTACCACCTCTCCTTGTTAGATCAGCTCACTGCAATTTTATTTTTCCCCCTTATTCTCTACTACTCCAATGATGAAACTGGTGATCATACACAGTCCAACATGTCTCATTGCCTAAAAACATCATTATCCAATGCCTTAACCCGATTCTACCCACTAGCCGGAAGGATCAAAGACGAAAGATCAGTTGATTGTAACGACGAGGGGGTTGATTATTTGGAAGCCAGAGTCTATGCCAAGCTCTCGGACATCATTGAATTGCCAGAGGCTGAAGTCCTGAACCAACTTGTTCCGTATACGAAAAATGGAAGTGTTGTGATTAGAGATGTTCAATTAGGCGTTCAGGTCAACTTATTGGATTGTGGCAGTATAGCTATTGGTGTGTGCATTTCACACAGGATTGCTGATGGCCATAGCTTTGTCATGTTCATCAATACTTGGGCTGCCATGGCTAGGGGGGAGCGCGATTTGGTGCATCCAAACTTGAACAACGCGTCTCTCTTCCCACCGCTAGACTTGCCAAAGCCAACCAATTCTTCACAAGAGAGGGTACTTGTCACTAAAAGGTTTGTTTTCAATTCCTCAGCAATAGCTGCTCTGAAAGCTAGAGCAGTGACCGGAGCCTCATGCACCGTGCAGCAGCCTACAAGGGTTGAGGTGGTCACCGCGCTGATATGGAAGTGTGCCATGGCTCAAAGAGATCTTGATAGATGTAGCACATCAATAGCAGCCCATCAAGTGAATTTGAGGGGGAGGATGGTCACACCAATGGCGGAAAATCATTTTGGGAATCTTATTAGGACAGCATTCGCAACTAGTACTGATGGTGAAGAGGAGTTGGCTTCCTTAGTGCATAAATTAAGGGAAGGAATGAAAAAAATTGACATTGATTATATAAGAAAACTAAGTGAAGATGGTTATGCAGTGATCAAGAATAGTAGTCTGAAGAAGCTGGTTGAAAGATTGTCCGGCTCAGTGCAGTTGTTAAGCTTTAGTAGTTGGTGTAGGTTTCCAATCTATGAGGCAGATTTTGGTTGGGGAAAGCCCACCTGGGTGAGTATTGCTGGCATAGCCATTAAGGATACTATGTTCCTGATGGATTCCAAAAATGGTGATGGAATTGAAGCATGGGTTGTCCTTGATGAACAAGATATGGCAAAATTCGAGCAGCACTCCGATCTCTTGAGCTACGTTTCATCGAATTAGTAAATTTCACTTGTCTGTTACTTAAATGAAGAATGGTTGGCCAATTATAACTTTTTTGTATCTTTACTGTCTAATTATTCTTTCTTAGATCTCTTTCTTTTTCTTTTTCATGAAAAATTCTTGGGTAAAATTCATTTAGATCCTCCTGAGGTTTGTCTATACTTGAGTTAGACCCCCCAAGTTTGCATATCTTCATTCATATCCCCTTTTACACGTTGCCGGCTGAGGGTGTTAAAGAAAGGAATGAAATGACTAATCTACCCTCATTGGAGGGAATGAGCAGTCTGGGCATTAATATAAACTACTTTTTTGATGATGCCAACAAAAAAAACATCTCTGACATCTGTTTCATGAGGGGAGAGACTCGTGTGTTAGAAAAAGTAGAGAATATGACCGAAAAAATGCAAATCTAGGGGATCTAACTAGCGTATAGACAAATCTGGCCCTAAATGAGTTTAGTCTTTCTGAGATTTCGATCACTAAGCTAGGCTTAATTCATCATGTTGTAAGAACATTGTATTGACCTCAATCTCATAGTAATTCAAATTCATTTCTAAGAAAATAATTCAACCTAATATGTAAGCCAATGAGTTTCAATCAGTCAATATCTTAACACTTCAAACTTCTGAATAAGACTTAGAAATCAATTTGAGATCTAGTGATTGAAACAAGGAGTTTTGTTTGCTATTGTGGAGCATCTAGTGGTGAGTAAAGGAATCACTCCATGTAAGATTACATATCCAAGCCACTATAGAATGAGTTTTATAATAGTTTATCAGCCAAATTAAAAAAAGGTGAAAATTTGGCATCACAAACAAGAAGTGTTGTTTGTTATTGATGGAGCATCTACTGGTGAGCAAAGGAATCACTCTTTATTGATCATTACATATTAAATTGCAAGTATATAATGTTTATTGAAATAGTTTGTAACTATGTGAATTAAGAATACAAAACTTTGTACTTAATCAATTGTCTTTAACATAGAACTTGAGACGCATCAAATTGAAGTGCCAATGAGCCTAGTGTTAAAGTCATTATGAGGCATCTGAGTATCTTGTATTTTTTTCTGTAAAATCTTTGCTACAGATCATTGCTGTCACGCCTTCGCAAAATAGGGTACCTCCTTTAAAGCACAATCTAAGATAAAATATATACGCGTGCAAAATCTACTTAATCATCAATCTCACTGTGGCCTGAGCAATAAATTTGTTGCGACAATTATTTAATCAACCACCCAAATCTTTAAAAGATATGTTCTCATGCAATCATACAAAAAAATAATAATAATAATAAAAAGTAGAAGCCAATTTAACAAGGACAATGAATAAGCACAACTATGCTTAGTTATCAATTAAACACAATAGCTTTGTTTGGCTATCAATTGTTGTATACTTGAAACATTTGAAAACATATTTTTTGCACGAACTGTTCTATGCTTAGAACAAAAACTTCCATGTACTTGACACCCTCTTGTATCGATATTTGATAAATATATCCACAGGGTTCATCAAACCATCCTATATGAGAAAAATTAGGAGTTGCTGCCAACTAACTAGATGAAGTTATGGTCTTTTTTTCCCTCTTTATTCTTTACTTTTGCTTGCCAATTAGGGAACTTGTATTGAAATATATATTCTATATATGTGTAATACATATATAGAATATATATTTCAATAACTTGAACCGGGAAGTTGACATTGCATATTCCTTCATCAGTCCACTGAATAACTTTTCCAGATGGAGTTCACTATAAACAATAAACAAGGTTGACATATTCGGAAATCTCTGAATCTATGCTTTTTTTTCACTCGATCTCTAAAACATTTTTTTGTTTACTGCACCCTTCCTCGTCTCTAGGCGCTTAGGTATATATCTATCGTGAGCCTTTACTCGAACATTTTGTCGTTTACTGCACCCTTCCTCGTCTCTGGGTGCCTAGGTATGTATCACGAGCCTTTCCTCTTTAGAAAGTCTCACTTGTGCACTTGTGCTTGTCTCAAAGAATTGGAGGGTAATTTTTTATTTTTTATTTTTTCAGTGAAATGGGGGAGGGTTTGGTACCATATCCTTGAATTGTTATGTCCTCAGAGCCAAATAACCGATTACTTATTCTCTTTTATTTCTAGCTCTCTCCAATTCTTAACAAATCAAAATTAATATTCAAGCATATTTCTATCACATCGTAAAGACTTCTAGAACTGAACAACAACTCCTCATGTATTAATCATGTATGAAACAGAATATGCATGATTGGATGGAAAGACAATACACGTTGTAACAGTTCCCCTCCCTCTCCATGCCTTTAACCACATAATCAGGAATGCAAATACTACATGTAAAAGATATTTCTGATTTCAAGCCCTTGTGCTAGCGCTGCAACAAAACCGAGTTGTTCATGAACAACTCGAGTTCAGCTCCTTTAGGGTTCGGTTCGGATTTGTTCGTTAAGTAAATGAGCAGAATCATTTTTTAGGTTCGTTTAGTAAACGAGCGAGCCAATCCCAAATAGTGTTGAGCTCAGCTCATGTAGGTTCGTGAATATAAGCTGGTGTGACTCATTTATGTTCCTGAACATAAGCACATTTATAGAGTCAGAAAACCCCTAAAAATATAAGAAATTATATGAAAAAGAAAAAAGAAAAAGAAGAAAAGTGAAGATATATGGGAAAGTGTTTTTATTGATTGAGAAGTGTACATGCATGCCAATACCATTATTTTAGGTAAATTTTGAAACACAAGCATACACATTTATTCTAATAGCTAGCTAGGGAAGAAGTCAAATATTGCACACTTATAAATAAGATGGTAAATCGTTGGACTAAACTAGATACCTCCCTTATTATCACCATCTAAGTTTTTAAGAATCCATTTTAGTGGCATGCACCGAGAGATGATCATGTTCAAACATGGCCATGTCATCTTCAACCATGCTCACCCATGCCTCTATTCCCTCCCCACAACTAGTACTCATCAAAATCACCAGATTCTTGAAAGGCATAGTTGTGGTGCATACCCAAACTGGCTTACCCCAACCATAGTCAACCTCATACATAGGAAATCTACACCAACTACTAAAATTACAAAACTCTAAATCACCCTTGCATAAATTCTCTTTTACCCTTTTGAGATCTTTCATGTACCAATCTCCATTTTGTACTTTCTTCACATGATCAACGTCGATTTTTCTTATTGCACCCCTCAGCAGGCTCACTAGGTCATGGTAATCTTGCTTACCCTTAGATGTTGATAACGCAGTGGCGTAAGTCCAAACATTTCCAAAGGAGTGGTCTGGGAGGGGTGGCTTCATCTGGGGTCTCATGTTCACAGCATGGACTGCAGCAAACATCTTTTTTGTATCGAGCTTAACTTTGGACACCTTCATGAATTGCCACCAGATGAAAGCTGAGACAGCTTCAACACGAGTGGGATCCTTCACTTCTGATCCAAAAGGTGAGGAAGCGACCTCTTTCAATGTTGCTAACCTCATCTTATCGAATATGAACCTTCTTGTCACGATCTTTTCTTTCGTGACGCTTGCCATTGGCATAAACCCTAGTGAGTCCCTAGGTGGGAAATGGCACGCCAAATCGAAATTAGGGCGCACAAGTTTGCTAGCTCCACGAGACGTGGCAGCCCATGCATTGATGAATGTGACTAAAGACAATCCATCAGCTATGTTGTGTGAAATACACACACCAATAGCCATCCCACCATAATCAAAGAAATTGATTTGGATAGATAGGAGTGGTTCCTTAGCCATTTCAGCCCTAGTACCATAAGGGTCAATAGGAAGGTATTTTTTTAGCTCTTCAACATCAGGCTTTTCTATAACTTGTGAAAGATGAGAATGGACTTGAGCTTCAATAAACTCAACTCCAGCATCATTACAATCAATAGTACCATCATTTTTTATCATTCCGGCTAACGGATAAAAGTGAGTTAGGGTTCCTGATAAAGATAGTTTTAGTGATTGAGATTTTTGGGCATGATCAATACTTTGGCCTATCTCAGTTTGATAGAAGAAAATGAGAGGGACATAAACTGGTGGTGCAATTTGGTCTAAGAATGAAAGCTTTAGGTTTCTAAGGTGATGGGGGGTTGGAGACGATGGTTTTATCATCTCTTTAGAAAGCACCTCAACATAACTTCCCACCATCTTCCCGCCTTTTGCTACCTAAAGTTGATGTTTGTTTTGTGTAATTTTAATGGGAATGTGATCTCTCTTATATAGAGTCTAACAAGGAGTGGATTGAAAGAGGCCAGCCTCTTTAGGGACCCACACATTCAATTTTAAATATAAAAGTTATATTAATTGGGAGGCGGTATTCGTACTCTATTTATCTATATGACACTTCTATTCCTAATTTTATAAATAAATACATAATAATTTTTTTCAAATATCACAATCATGTACCCTTCTCCCTCTCCTCTCCACAATTCGTGTGTGTGATATCTTCAAGATTTCCAATTGGTATTCCTACTATATATAAGCAAACGAGATTGCAAAGTTTAATAGAATATGTTATTTGTGAGTATATTGAAATAATATTAGAAGCATAAAAAAAATACTAGAAACAGTATTCTATTATATATCAATGCTACATGGTGTACGATTTTTCTATCTTCTTCATTCAATTTAGACGTTCTAAAATTATGTAGCTACATAGCTAAGGACTAAATATCAATTTTAGAGAGAGAGAAAAAAAAAAAAAAAAAAAAAAAAAAAAAACAACCTTTATAATAGGAATCTAAACGACATAGAAAAAATAAATTGTAGTTAATAAAGTACATATGAAGTGTGGAAGAAATGGATGTTACAGTCATTGCCATTGAATTAGAGTGTTGTGTCAACATCTCTTCTTTTTTCTTTTTCTTATTGCGGTCATACAATCTTTTTTTGTTCAATAATTATTCACCATTTTGTCACTGAGTTTACAAAAAAAATTTTACCTATGATTCATCTCTTCCTCTTCTTTATTTATTTATTTTTTTTCATATTAGTTTTCATAATTACTTATTTAGGTTAATTTTTCTCATATTTAGAACTGTATTATTTTTCTCAATATATAATAATAAGAATAATATAATATAAACAATTGTATTAAAATTGATTTATAAAATTTTCAATTTTAAATTATATAGTATTAGTTCGGCAAGAACTCTATAATGAGAAGAGTCTCATGCACCGGATTGAACTTCATTTTTTAATTTTTTTTTTTTTTTGGTTCAACCCCTAAATTGTGATTCCTGACTCCACTACTGATTATACAGAAATAAAATAGAAAGAAGAATATATAGAGAGAGCGCATATGCATCCCAGTGAAATAAGGTGTTGCTTAGTTGTGTTTGGATGCCAACCCATCACCAAGATCAACAACCACACTAATCGCATTAAAAGCTAGCACTGGAGATGCAGAAGGTCTTTGACTCCGACTGAACCCTATTGAAGGAACAGTAGAAGTTGTAACCCCATCAACAATCAAACCTCTAATATAAATGAGAGATTTTGTTGTTTGTAAATTGGGTAGAGAGTGGCGAGAGAGAGAGAGGCTTGTAATGGATTACAATTGGTTTTAGGCTCCTTAAAAAACAAAACAAAACAGATAGAACAAGACAAAACTAGTCAATTAAGTATTAAAAAAAAAAAAAAGAAGAAGAAGAAAATTTATAGTACAAAGAGTAGCTAGGGTATAATGAAATAAAATATGATGCCTTAATTAGTTTATGAACTTTTTTGTCATTCACTTCAAAGAAAAAAAAAAAAAAAAAAAAAAGTGCAGTGTAGATGTAGAGAAGTGGAGTGCAAATATCGTCTCCCTATTAATTAGTTTCCATCAAATTAAATTAGTTTTAAGAATTATTTTCAATTACAAATAATTTATATCAATTTCTATTGTCCTACGTTTTAAGAATTGACAAATATGCTATAACTATGAAAAAAATAAATGAATGTTCTAGACATTGTAAATATTGTGATAATAAAAGGATTATTTTTTCAGTGTAATACCTATATAGTAAGACCTAATCTTTGTTGTTATTTGCATAAATTAGTTATATTAGCATATTAATTGTGTTTTCATACTAAAATATTTTTTGAAAATCATTTTTCTCATTTTCTGATATTTGGGTGACTCCAAGGGTAGAAAATTATTTTTCATATAAACTATTTTACCCCAAATGATTGACAATGATTTACCAAAAATGTTTCGGTAAGTCATTTTCCACATGTTACCTTTGGTCATCTAATCATCTATATTGTTATTGAGTACATATGTCCCTCTAACAACTAATCTTTTTTAATCATCCCAATCTAAAAATATTTTAATCTTAGTAATGTATACATAGAGTGAGATGAGAGAAAAAAAGAAACACAAATTTGAATTGTCGAGAAAGTGATTGTTTTCCCACAGAGTGAGAGGAGAGAAAGTATTGTGAATGAGAATAGAATTTGTACAGCATTGAGAAAGATAGTTTTGGGTAGAGAGAGAAAGAGTTTGTTTTCTTAGAGAGCGAAAAGAAATAGAATGAAGAGTGGAGACTGAGAAGAAGAGAGAAGGGGAACAGATTTGGGTCGAGAGCATGTTCTGGTATAAAGAGAGTGGAGAGAGAGAGTAACGAGAAGGAAAGGGAAGGTTGGTTTAGCATAGAGAGAGGGTAGGATGGTTTAGGAAGTCCTATTCCCTATTGGTGAGGAATATTGAAGAAAAGAAAGTTAGCTATTACCAAATATCTAAAAAGAAAAATGAATATCTAAAAAGAAAAATAAAGTAAACATTTTACATGAAAAGTTTTATTTAGAAAACATTTTAAGTCCAAACAAAAAAAACTTTAATTTACTTTGTTTTTGGATTACTAAAGTTTCGCACATCAGACTAAATTTATGTAAGAAAAGAATAATGTCGATAACATTACAGTGATATCATCTCAATCAGATGCATTAGGACTCCTAAGTCTACTATTACATATAAGTGTGACTGAAAATACAATAATACCCCAATATGGTGCTTAGGCTGACCAAGGTCTGGTCATGAGCGATACAACTTCTTTGTGGTCCACGAGGGTAATTAGATTACTCATGAAACTCTAGGCCGGAGCATTAAAAATAGATCACAACATCAATCTTCTTATTACGTATTATCGGATTATCATACTCTACACTTTCTATCATTTAGTTCTTGAAAAAACTATGACAAGACATTATATTTGTGAACGCAACCATGGTTAGTATTTAGTATTTAGTAATTTGGGTATTATCAAGTTGTTGTTACTATTGGAGTCATAAAACATTACATTATGTGGTTGTAATTTGTGTATTATCAAGTTCTTGATACCACTGAAGTCATAAAACATTACATTTGTGCAACCATGTGGTTCTTGTTACCAAAATTATACATTTGCTATAACTCTATGTAAAGTCATATAACATTACACTACTTGTGCAACCATGTGGTACGTTAACTATGTAAAGCCATAAAACATTACATTTGAGCAACCATGTGGTTATTGTGAAACTCATACAACATTACATTTGAGCAACCATGTTGTTATTGTTACCATACATTACATTTGAGAGAACTATAAAATATTAATGTTCTCTTTCTCCTGTACTACAACACGACTTCCATTAACCTAATGGAATATCCTCTCCTCCTTATCCCTCGAAAACTCGTAACTAGTAATTTGTGAAATGTGCATGTAAATAGGTACCTAACAAAAAAATTAACTGTTTTGTTTTGTGTGTCGACCAAAGGACCTACCCTCCAATTTCATATATTCCTATTTTTGGTATATAAATATATATATATATATATATATATATATATAAGTGAGGAAGGGATTTTTCAAATTATATTTGAGTGCAATTCCTAATCAAGTGGTCAAAAAATTTAACAAAATTTTTATACGTACGGAATGTTCTTTGGATAATGCTGTCACTACTCACTAGGCATTGGCACATCACCTTTTACAAAATTTCATTACAGAAGTTTTGTTTCCAAATTAGGGTTTTTGTCAAGTAAGAGTATTTTCAACCGTTGTGCTTTATTTATTGTATAAATTTATGTGTCATAATAGATTTACATAAAAAATTTTAATTACTTATTTTTAGCTCCAGCCGTTTTATACCTTTTGTGTCAAAATATATTCCAAAATAATAATCAATCAGTGTCATATCTGTACCCCACATAATTTCCACATAATTTATACAAACCTACTTAATATATGGTTGATTTATTAATTGAATGCGAAAGAGAGAGTAAAAAGAAAATATGTTGGTGTGACTGTGTAAAAAAGTTGTGTAAAATACACAATAATTTTACACATTGACAATGTGACAATCAGTATATATTTTATATAAAAGAGTATTTTAACATACGGCTGGAGATACTCTAAGTTCTTGTACAAAAAACAAATATAATGCAAGATTTTTAACTTGAAACAATACTAATCCTTATCAAAATAATAATAATGATATTTTGACGCATTGGTTTACATACGTGTATATCATTTCACAGCACTAAATTAATATTTTCAAATTAGAGTTAACTCTCCCTCTCCTATATATATCTATATATATATATATATATCTATATATATATATATATATATATATATATGTTTTAAAACATTGATTCAATGCTCCTTGACATAAATTTATTGCTGTCCATTTACTTATTAAATTGGTTAAATTATTTGGGCCATCCAGTTCAATTCATATGACTTTTAACGGATTAAAAGGAAAGATATTGAAATGACAAACCGTGCTAAGAAGTTGTCTCAAGTTAAAAGTTACCCATGCAACTCTTTTAATAATCATACCAAATCATCTTGACATGGCTATGACATAGTCCATGTATTGTATAATCTATTTTTAACCTGCTTAATGATCTAATTTTATTTATAAAATGCAAATATAACAAGCTGATTACTATTTGTTTTCTCTAACCTCACTCTTCAACTTTATTTCCTTTTGACATTTTTTCTCAAAAACATACCAACTCTGAATGGCTGAATGCATTAACATCCGCTTCCTTTTTGCCATGAGTAATAGATCGAATTGAGGAGTGCAAGGCATGATCATGACCGAAAATGATGGTTAGGGTTTTTAAAGTATTCAAAATGAAACGATGAAAATCATGTCGAGGAGATTGACTGCAGCGAGGAGTGGCCGATAGAGATGTCCAGCAGTAGGAACGGACTCGGAAAATTATGTGAGAGGGGAATCTTTAACAATAAAAAGATAAAAAATTTCAAACCATGGTGTCTACAAATTATATTATAGCCTACAATAAATATTCTGTTTACAAATACCAGCGAACACTTAGTGATACCAATTTGAGTAGCTTTACAATTTTTGTCTTATGTCTTTCTTTTAAAAGTTCTAATTGTTTGGTGTCTACAATATTCCAACTGAACTCGCTTATCGAATGTGGTTATCTAGAAAGTGGAATGCGATAATTTAACAACTGATATGTATTATGTGCTAATTCAAAATACGACATAGCAATTTGGTTTGCCATATTTTTTTTTAAAGAATCTCTCTTTTTTCAATTATCGTAGGTATTATATATATATATATATATATATATATATATAAGTAAATCTATTATATTTTTCTAGAGTATTCTAACCATTATTGTAGATATTCTAATAGTTTTTTCTTTTTCTTTTTCTATTTGGATAATTCTTGTATAAATACGCATGTCTTTTGCAAAGGATTCCTATCAATGAGTGAAGATTATTTTTTTTTCTTCAAAATTTTCAAATATGATAACAATTCCCTAGTATGTCAAAGTTATTTACCTTTGGCGTAGCCATAATTTTTTACATGTTAAATAGCATATCAGTAACTAAGATACCACAAATGGAAAATTTTTCCATTTAAAAACTATAGAAATTAAAATAATATGCAAGATACTTCATCGAGACGAAGTTGTGACTTCAAATCTTCCACACGAATATTTGGTAGAGTAAGAACTATTCTTTAATTACAACATAATAAACAAATACATTTTGAAAAATTGTTCATACTCTTTAAATTATTTTTCAATAAATATTCTTTTCAATTTTTATCAAAATAACATATTAAAAATAACCCACGAACTTATATTAAATATTTAATAAATTATACCCACCTCTCTTGATAGTTTGGATATAACTCTTGGACTTATCATTAATGAATAATGGGTCAATTTTTTGGATTTGTACATCTATGTATTCACATTGCCTTTTTTCTATTTGTGATGCCTCATAATATCCAACTAATGGCATTTCCGTCAAGAAAATGAAAGTCATAAGAAGCATCATTCCTTGACATAGACAAGTCATGGCAATGCATCAAATATTATATTATATCATTAGGTAAACATTAATTCTAAAAGAAAAAGGCAAAACATAGTATTGGATACAAATGTTCCAGTGACGCAACATTTCTCTTTAATTAATAATGAGGAATATGAAAATTCAACTAAAAGAACAAAGCGATTTTGACTGCGACTACATAAACTAATCGAAAGAATAATAAATCATCAGCAAAGCCCATCAAATTGCTGTGATGGCTTTCCTTTAGTAGCTACCGACATTGACATGCAAATTAAATGGACTCCCTATAGCTCTAACAAAACAATTCTAATTTCTAAGTGTATATATCATTTCTAGGCATAGCTGCACATTCCATATACACATGAGCTCCCTTTCTTGCACTTAATGTTGCACCCTCCACAGTGCTTCTTGTTGGACAATGGGTTCACACACACACCGTTGCAACATATCTCCGAGTACTTGCATTTCTTCCCACACATGCCGCAATTGAGTCTGTCTGTCTTCACATTCACACATTTCTTTTTGCAGCAATCTGGCCCCGGACTGCCCTTGGCGCGACATACTCTAGGGTACTTGTTGCATGTCATTGTCACGCGCGGTGTTTGGGCAAGAAAACGTCCAGTCCCTCGAAGAGATGCTGGCAGTACTTCTTCGCTTTCAGGGAGAGATGCATCAAAATTATCAGTTTGAGAATCTTCATCATCACCATCAATAAACACCTCTTCTTCTGTAGGTGTTGCTAAAAGAGTTGTAGCCAAAGCCATTAGCATTACCAACACCAAAAAAACCTTTAGGCACTTCATTGTTGTTGATTTTTTGTTTGTATGAGACAGAGATTTGCAATGTAGAAATAAATGAAGAATGGTTTGTGTGGAGAATGGAAGTTGATAACAAGGGTATTTATAGTATGGTAAAAGGTTATAGTACGTTGTTTATTGTTAGTGGAGTGGTCTTATTCTACGGTTTCACATATAATTTAGGTAAAAGTTAGGCTTACAAAGAAATTTTGTATGTACTACTCCAGATTAGGAAACGACGTAGAATTCAACCCTTATCTTATAATACTTATATGTATAGGTTGGTAGGTAGACCTCTACCTCTACATCCGTACATGGACTGCCCTTGTTTTGATTTCTCTAATTAATCTAAACAATTGTTTCCCTTGAGCTATCAATAACTAATTACAATTGTTTATTGGTGGACAAGTCAAATGATATTTTTCTTTTATATATTTAGTTAAAGAAATTAAAGACTGACAGTTTCGAAACAGATCAATACTTAGTCATTGGAGAATAGAATTCTCCATCTTATTATTGACGAGGCACAAATATAATAAAATTATATGTGTTTATCTTAAATTTAAACTGTGAATTAAAAAACAATTAATTTTCTCTCTCTTATATGTATTTTGAATTCAAATAAACACATATCATTTTAAATTGTATCAAATTTGTAAAAAAGAAAAAAAAAAAAAAAAAAAGGTGAGTAAGCAAATACTAAACAGGCACGGATTTGTGAGTTCGGTGGTGACTAAAGTCTTGGGACAAAGATTGTTCCCTCAATGCTGACTTAGTACTACTTAATCACCAAGAGAATATAAACCAGAAAGCAGGCCTAAGCCATTGCATGGACAATCACACAAAAGTAACTTAAGCCCACCCAGCACAGCTGCTTGTCTGTCTGTATTTCAAAAATCATTGGACTGTTATGTAATGGTTAATTATTCAGTGATCTCAACAACAGAAAAATGGTTGATTTGTCTCGAAATTAAATAAATTTAAGGAGGACGGATAACACAAATGGGAAGTTCCCAAACATAAAATATGCGTTTGGAGAAAGATCGATCATTTCGTGTGCATGATATAGGATCGATGAATTTGGTTATGGGTAGTGTGGAACCTGATATATACTTTACATCAAATTCTAACTCATAATTTTTTTAAAGAGTATTTTGATAATTTTTGCACTTGTTATGTTGTTCTAATGTGAGCGTATTTATTTAGACGTTACCCCGATTTTGGGTGAACCAAATAAAATTGTGTATTTGATATTTTTCTTATATTTTCTATTTAATTTTACAACAATTAACTAATTAATGGATTGCAAATCTAAAGTGTGAAAAATACATATTTACATGTTTATTCCTTAATTAATTAGTACTACTTCGTCAAGAGAATATATGAAAATATGCAATTTACTACTTGTAGGATGGCAAATCTTGTGTGATAATAGAGGTAAAGTTTTTTACTTTACGTCACCAACAGTATAAGTTTAGCTCAGATGTTACCTCATATTATCCTGTTGTATGTACAAGTTCTTGCAACGAAAAATAAAAAATGGTCTTTTAATTAGACCAGTCTGACCGGATCAAGTCCATAATATATATATATATATATTTGTATTATATTATTAATTATAAATAATGTATTAATCAATAATATATTTCTCATTTTGGGCACTTCAATGCTCAATATATTCTAATGTTTTGACTTCTATTTATTAATTAAAATATTGGACTTGCTTTGCATGGTTGACCAATAGGTTTCAATTGGGCTGTCGAACTGTCGAAGGACTAAAACAATAAAAATTGTTTTACTCTTGTCACGTGGATTGAGTAGCTAGTGAATTGTTACCCCTTGTCTAACTTTGATTCACAGAATGATCATATGGCATCGACATTCTAGAAAATTTTGTAATTATTTTCATTGTATAGATTGTCTAACTTATATTCACAGAATGATCATATGGCATGGATATTCTAGAGAATTCTGTAATTATGTTAGTTATATAGAGTTTTGTAGAGTATTTATGATGGGTCATGTGAATAAAATTGGAATAGAAAAATATAGAATATCAAGGAGGATTTTTTTTTTTTTTTTCTGGCTTTTTAGTATTTTGTATATATGTGTAGGGTATTCTTGAATTTTACGTTAAAGAGGTGGGAGAAGTGCGATATGGTAGTCTTATTTTCTCCCACTAGAATTTTCATTAGTAAAGCGGTCATTTTTTCTCAAAAACCTCTTCATTTCTAAATAATCTATAATACATCTATTTTGAAATTGAATGAGTTGATACCGGTTTCTCAAAAACCTCTTCATTTCTAAATAATCTATAACAAATCTATTTTGAAATTGAATGAGTTGATACCGGTACACCCACTTAATTTGAATTTGAGTAGTTTATTTTATTTATCCAAAAAAGTAAATAATTTTGGAAAAAGAAATAGGTTTAAATAATTAATCTTAATTATAAAGTAAATTTATAAATTCAGCCGTACATATTCACCACTGATCCTCCTCCTAATTACAACCAATATGTATATATAACAATAATGGTGAACAATAATAATGGTGATCGAATACAACTCGTTCGATGACTTGCTTTTATTATTTCACGTAATAATGGTGAACACAACTCCCGTAGGATTAACAATAAATTTAACTAAAATTATGAAGACATGGACACACAGATATACGCACATACACATAAAATAGATAGATGGATATATGTATATATAACGTGAATGCTAGAAGATGTAACAAGCATTTCTAAATTCTAAGCGTAGCTGCACATCCCATACACGCATGAGCTTCCTTTCTTGCACTTCTTGTTGCACTTCCCACAATTCTTCTCATCCACAGATGGATTCACACATTGGCCTTGGCAACATAACTCCGAGTACTTGCACTTCTTCCCACACTTCCCGCAGTTAAGCTCATCACTCATCACATTAACGCATTGCTTGTTGCAGCAGTCCCGGCCGGGACTGCCCTTGGCTGCACAAACTCTAGGGTACTTGTCGCATGTCATGGTGGTGGCACGGGGACCCTGGCCGGCAAGAAAGCGAGCAGTTCCTCTCAGAGAAGATGGTTCCTGGCTTTCATGAAAATGAAAGTAAGAAGAAGCATCATCTTCCTTAACATGGACAAGTGATTCTAGTTCACTAGTTGGTGTTGCAAAGAGAGTGATGGTTGTGGCCATCAATACAAGTAAGACAAACCAAATCTTTGATGACTCCATAGAATGCAAGGTTGGATCTATGCGTGATAGAGAGATGAGAGAGATGATAAGAATATTTAGTTCTTAATGAGAACAATGAAAGGATGCATGGCAAGGTATTTATAGACAAAACCCTAGAGATCTAGCTAGCTATATTTGTGATTTTTGTTGGTTAATGGTAGTCCTTATCAATTGTTGCATATATTTTTCAACTAAAAGAAAGTTAGGCTTGAGAAAATTAATTCCAAGCTCAAATGGAATAATGGAAAATGATGAAAAGGGGATGAACCATAAAATTGTGGTGTATATACAGCATGTGGTATATTATATGTTAGTCACCAGAAATTTCCGTATTAGCTATAAATTTTTCTTTAATTTTTTTTTTTTTTTATTTTTTTAATACCATGGCAATAAACTTCTACACTTATCAAATGTGGGAAAATATTACTAAATTATAGTCTATTAGTGATAAAAAAAAAAAAAAATTATCTATTTGACATGGTGATTAAAAACAGAATGAGTGCATAAATGCTTCAGATCATCTATTAAGATTTTTTTATCTTTTTCTTTAAGGTAAAATACTTGACCGAAATTTGAACCTTTACCTTTCCTTTGAAAAGGGGAAGGACTCAAACCAAACTTTGGTCTCAATGTTTTTTTCCCATTTGTTTTGGTAATTAGAAAGGTGTTATTAGTAGGGCCTTAAAAGAAGTGGGTTTGATCCAAGATGCAATTTAATTTGAAATCCATTTTAATTGCCTTGGATTTTAATTTTGAATCAAAATTTAATAACAAATCAGATATAAACTTTCTTTGAAAAATCCATGCATCGAGCATTCAAGTTGAACATGAATTTTGATTTTTTTAAATGGATCAAATTTTACCCCGAGATATGCAAATATGTTTTACTCCTATTTGAATCAAGTTTAAACTATATTGATTAGAATTGATTGGATACAAATTTAGATTTGGATATGAATCGTGACATTAAAATAAAAATCCGATTACATGAACCCACTTGAGATCAGCTCGATTTCAAGCCCTAGCCTGAACTGGAAGGAGAATCAAGTTCGAATACCTCTACCTTATAATTAATTATGTGGTTATAAACCAACAATTTCATCCCCTCGGAATTCATTTTGGTATCATTGTTGTGCCTTACCAAATTCAAATTCATCAGTAGGCACATATCAAACAAACTCTTAGACTTTATATTGGTTGAGTATATTCATTATATAATATGATATTATCAAAAGTTGTGTAGTCTAGTACTTCTTTACCTTTTAAAATAAAAAATTGAGAGTTCAATTTTTTTTTAAGTATCCTAAACCCTAGTATATGTATATATACATGTTACATATGTATATATACATATTACATATATATATATATAAATATATACACACACAGTTGGCCTTTGGGACGCCTCTGGTGTTACTTCATCCCCTTTCACCTCTATTGGGTGACCTCTAAAGTTGGCTTTTGTGTTCCTCTATTTTACAGCTTCCATAACAAAACTTTAAAAAGTGACCACATAATTGGTATTTGCTTAATCAATGATTATATATATATGTGTATTAAGAACTCGTACGACGGCATTCAAAAAAATCAAAAATCAAAAAATGGAGCTGACTTTGGCAAGATTAAAATGTCAAATTAGGTGGGCCGGATTAATTTAGTTGGCCGAATCAAAGCCCACGTTTCAATCAGACTAACGGTTTTTCTACAATTTTAAGAAATCAGTTACAGAAGCACTTATTTTTAGAGTCCTTCGCGGCCTATTTAGATTGCGTTCACGTCTTTGGGGCGTCTTGACTTTCCATGTTTGGCAGGTCTTCAACGCGACTTTGGATCAAAGAATTTCAATACTAATCAGGGTGTGAAATGCAAAAATTGGGACCCACTTATCCTGTTCCATCTCATCAAGTGTACTACATGTACACAACTACATAAAGCAGTATGATGTGGATGTTGCAATGGCCAAACGTCATGTGTACAATTCCAATCATGTTTAATTTAAACCACTTTGGAGGTAAGTCATAAGTTTAGCCAAACACTGCCTTTTTTTGTGTTAGCCCAACTATAGAATCAAGATTGTAGCTGATTTTTCTATTCCATGATCCAATCAGACCAATTTCGGTAGTGAACATGACCCATCCTTAATGCATAACAGCCAATCAGGGTCGGCCCTGGCCCTGGTCGACCAAGGCGATCGCCTAGGGCCTCAGATTTTAAGGGGCCTCAAAATTTTGAGGCCCATGCATGATGGACCACCAAAAAAACAAAAAAAAAAAAATTAACTAGATACAGCAAATGTTTTAAAGGGCCTCAAAATTTATAGGCCTATCAATGATGGGCCACAAAAAAATATATATATATATATAGATATATATATATACCAGCAAAGCATCTGATGATCTGAACCCGCATTATCTTCTTCTTCTCAAGAATTGCAACAGTCTCTCAACTCTCAAGCTTACCCGTTACCCTCTATCTCTCTCTCTCTCTCTCTCTCTCTCTGTGTCTCTGCAAGACTGAAGACTATAATTGCAACACAAAAATCAAAAGTTCAAAACAGAAAATTGAAAACATCACTGTCATCACATCATCTCCTCTCTTGCCGGCTTGCCCTTTGCCTTCTTCTTCCACAGGTCTCTCTCTCTCTCACCCATCACATTACTTTTTCTAATACATACACACATATATATTATATATACACACACACTGACACACACTAAATATGTCTTATTAATTATTTGAATCTTTAATTATAGGAAAATTCACTTCCTCCATTCAATCTCTCTCTCTGGAGAATCTGCCTCCTTACCATTCTTGGGTATGTGCTTTCTAAATTCTAATAGTCATATTTAACAATTGGAATTTATGTAATTGCACCAGCGACAAATATCAATATAGTTTGTGTGCAGCGGGAAGCCCATTAATTAAAAGAAAATGGTGTTGACAAGACTAGTCCTCGATCAGTATTTTGCCTATTTAGTTAGACACCCATGAATGCTCGGCACTGGAACTCCCAATGCCCCTTTACCTGCCAAACTCGCTCTATTCTCTCCATTTGAAGCCGCTCGTCCCAATATTCAGGACAACTGTTGAATTTTGATAAGTGATTACTTGCTAAAATTATAAGCAATATTATTAAACTGCCAATCTTTTCACTTTTTCCAACCCCCAAAGGACTAAATTTCAGATGAATGGCCAAAAAGTGAATGACATATATGGTAGAGGAATTAAAACATACCTTCTACTTAACAGGATGTTAAGCTCTTCCAAGTGGACAGCACCTTCATAAACTCCTTCCTAAAATCAGCCCAAACAAATTACAAAACAATGAGGTAGCTTTGAAATGGGACTTTGGTTGTCATCTCTTTGATTCCCTTGTAGATCAAATCACTTTCCAGGTGAAAAATATGCTAAAAAAATAATAATAATTATTATAAAAAAAAAAATTAATAGGAGTCTTAGACAGATTTCTCCCATACCATCATCATATTGATCATTTGATGCTTCTAAAAGTAATATTAGGCCTCTTTGTTAGGCTCGTTGTTAGTGAAATTTGTTATTTTGATTTAATTTGTCTTATTCTTCTGTGTGAATTATGAACTCAATGAATTTGTTGTAAATTTGTAATACAGGAGTTCCAAACTTCCATTCCAACAATCCTTCACTTGAAGACATATTATTTAGACATCTCACAAGGTATTTTTGTTTTTTTTATAAATCATATCATTTAGACAACTCATGAGCAATTTTTCACTTGAAGACATATCATTGAGCTATTGAGGTAATCTATATTTTCTTTCAGCAAAGTATTTTTTTTTTTTTTTTTAAGTTTAGTTTTATGTTTATTGTGTTTCCTGTTATATAGATTTCTAAGATTTCAATATTTTTGACAATTATGTCTACAAGAAAATTTGACTCTGGGTATGCAAAAAAAAAAAAAAAAAAAAAAAAAAAAAAAAAAAAAAATCTTTTTTTTTTAGATTGATTCAATCTCAAAAAGGTGTTATTCATAAATTTCTTAGGAATAATGCACAAACTGAGAGTTTAGTTGATGATTTGGCGAATGAAGAACATAGGAATGAAGAAAATTTTAATGAACATGGAGATTTAATGAATGAAGATATGAATGAGAATCAAAATGAAGAAAATGTGAATGAAGTTGAAGATTTGATAAATGAAGAATATATGAATGAGAATGATAATCTTCTTTTGAACATTAATGATCCAGGAAATTAGAAAGATATTAATAAAAAAAAAAATTTAAGAGATTTATTAGTTGAAAGATGTCCTCCAAGAGATGCTAAACTTAAAAATTTTCCTAAAAATTCAAAAAATAGACATTTCTCTTCTACATATTACATTCGACACTTGTCAAACGGTGAAAAACATGATAGAAGATGGCTAATCTATTCGAGTTCTTTAGACAGAGTCTATTGCTTTTGTTGTAAGTTGTTTAAATGTGACGAACAAAAAACTCATTTGGCAAATGAAGGAGTCAATGACTGGAAAAATCTTAGTGACAAACTTAAAAGTCACGAGACTAGTCATGAACATATTGTTAACATGGGGCATTGGATTGAATTAGAAATCAGATTACAAAAAAAATGCAACAATCGATAAAAGTATGGAAGAAAAAATCAACAAAGATAGAGAACATTGAAGGCAAGTATTATTGAAAATAATTTCCGTTGTGAAAACTCTTGCTAGAAATAGTTTGGAATTCCATGGGGACAATGAAAAGCTTTATGAAGAAAATAATGGAAACTTTTTAAGCATAATTGAAATGATTGCTGAATTTGATCCAATAATAAAAGAGCACATTCGTCGAATTCAAGATAAACAAATTCATTACCATTATCTTAGTCACAAAATTCAAAATGAATTTATTCTTCGGATATCGAATGAAATCAAATGTGTAATCATTAAAAGGGTTAAAGATGCAAAATACTTTTCAGTTATTCTCGATTGTACTCCGGATGCAAGTCATGAAGAACAAATGTCACTTATATTAAGATGTGTTAATGTTTCAGCAAGTCCGATAAATGTGGAAGAGTTCTTTTTAGGATTTCTAAAGGTGGATGATACATCTTTTTGATGAACTTGTAGATGCTTTGAAAGCTCTTGAACTTGATATTGGTGACGTAAGAGGACAAGGGTATGATAATGGTTCTAATATGAAAAGGAAACACAAAGGTGTACAAAAAAAATTACTAGATATAAATCCTAAAGCATTCTATACGCCGTGTGGTTGTCATAGTCTTAATCTAGCACTTTGTGATATGGCAAACTCTTGTTCTAAAGCATCATCTTTTTTTGGAGTTGTGCAACGCATGTATTCATTGTTTTCATCTTCCATAAAGCGATGGAAAGTTTTCACAGACAATGTTAAAGGTTTTACACTTAAGCTACCATCACAAACACGTTGGGAAGGTCAACTAGAAAGTGTTAAAGCAATAAGATTTCAAGCTCCAGATATAAGAAATGCTTTAATTCATTTAGCAAATACTAGTGAAGATCCCAAGACAAAGA